AGCTCTGTGGTTAGAAGCCTGTACACTGAAGCCACAAAGGGTGAAAAGAAGGAACCTGGGCAAAAAGCAAATGAGACTGAAAGTCGAGAATAAAATTGAGATTAAAATTGAATATTAAAATCGAGAATATATAAAATCAATTCAGAAAATTTTTTTAGAAAGTTATATTTTTTAAATATTTTTTTCAACTCAAAACAATTCGGCCCAAATAAACAACAAGAGTAAAAAATATTAAAATTAATCCAAAGAAAAATTTAGCATTAAATCGTAAAAGCAATTACACGACGTGTCCGGCACATATATTGATAATGGATCAAAAATTCTAAAAAGGGACATGTAACGAAAGATTAAAAAAACGACTATTTCCATATTTTAATAGGCTTACGAGATCCTCTCGCGGTCCAGGGAGCAAATATCAAAAAATTGTAACGCATCATTGGACGATGGTCATGTCGAGCCTAAAATAACATAAACGGATTAGGAATGTTTCTATAATCATAATATGGAGACAAACACAGCTAATAGAACTAACGCTGGGACCAACAAGTTTCTAGATACGTAAACTATATGGAAACTATCTAGTTTCTAAATAGTTCAACTAAGTAGAAACTAGATAGTTTCCATTTAGTTGAACTATCTAGAAACTATCTAGTTTCTACTTAGTTGAACTATTTAGAAACTAGATAGTTTCCATATAGTTTACGTATCTAGAAACTTATTGGTCCTAGCGTTAGTTCTATTAGCTGTGTTTGTCTTCATATTATGATTATAAAAACATTCCTAATCCGTTTATGTTATTTTAGGCTCCAATGATGCGTTATAATTTTTTGATATTTGCTCCCTGGACTATCTAGTTTCTAGATAGTTCAACTGAATGGAAACTATCTAGTTTCTACTTAGTTTAACATTATGGAAACAAATTAGTTTACAGATAGTTCTACTATATGGAAACTATTTTCTTTCTAGACAGTAGTTTACTGTACAGTTACTATATTGTTTTTACAAAGAAATTTTTTCCACACGGATAGAAAAATATTATATGGTTGTAGGAGCAAATTTTGACTGCAAAAATCAGTTACCAACTGCAGCAAATTCATTCCTTTTCGTGTAGAGGAAAAAAAAAACTTTCAAATAAACTGTTTATTGATATTCCACCGCAAAGAAAATATAATTCAATAAGGTCAATGCCACAAGATATATACATATTTGCCATTATCGGAGAATATTGAAGAGCAGCAAAAAAAAAGAGAGAGCGAGAGAGAGAGAGACAGAGAGATAAATGATATATTTTTGTGGTATAATATTGAGGCAAAGGAAAGGCAGCCACAGAGCAAATGTTGGTCGGCCGCAATCTTTTAGTCAATTTCAAAATAAAGGGGCAATCTTACTGAACAAACAAAAAAAGAAAAGGTATCGCATAGAAAAAAAAAATGCGAGGGTGATGAAGAATCTCTGTTGTCTTCGCCCATCAAGATATTTCAGTAGCAATTGCATCTCGATAATTTTACTATAATACTCGCTGAACTAACACGCCATAAGATCAATGTGGTCGACCATAACAAAATAAATAATATATATGTATAGGATGGGAAAAAATAGTGGAACGTGATCTTCCTCGTTGATTCAACGGAAGCATATGAAAGACAATTTGCAAAATAACCTTTTGATCTGATCACCGAGAAATATTTGCGAAAGATATATATAATACATGTATGAATATTGTATATATATGTATATATAGAATGAAAACAAGAAATATGATTGACTGTGCAATCATCCGAAGTGAAATGTTAATGTGTCAGGGAAAATTGATGTGCGGCAATTTTACTATAATCCGGAAGTGAGGAATTCCATTGAAAGTTTTAAGGAATTTTTGTGTCTAAAAAAAAAACTGAAAAGTAGATAGATTCTCTTCAGAAAACCTATCTAGAAAGTAGATAGTTTCAATATAATTAAACTATTTAGAAACTAGATAGTTTCCATATAATTAAACTATCTGGAAACTATAGTTTCTATAAAAACTATATGTATACATAGTTTTTATATACTTAAACTATCTAGAAACTAGATAGTGTGCATATAGTTAAGCTATATGGAAACTAGATAGTTTCCATTCAGTTTAGTTTCCAGATAGTTTAACTATATGGAATGTAGACAGATTTCATTTAATTGAACTATTTAGAAACTAGATAGAATCCATATAGTTGAACTAGATAGAAACTAGATTGTTTCTATCTAGTTTAAATATGTACAGTTTTTGGCCACAGCGTTACATTTCTTGCTAGTTCTAGAATTGTTTAACTATACAGTGGCTATATAGAAAATAGTACACAACTGTATCGTAAACTCTACAGAAACGTGAAAAAATTCCACACGGGTATAATAATAAATATAAATTAGAGAGAATTATTTTTAAAGTTATTTTGTAATTTATATATATATATTGACAACGAAATTAATGAATTACGAAATAAAGAATAGTAATGTAAGAATAAAAAGGGAACGATGATCTTTCTCGTGCAGTTATAATTTTTCTCCACATGTGTATAGTCGGTACGAGATAAAGAAGAGGTTAAGACGTCGGGCAATGGGGGCCTCAGGTTCGACGGAAAACAAATGAGCTTTTGACGGGCGAGGTTGAATGCGGCCCTTTTGAGGGCCTTTTGACGTTAGCTGCCGGGGGTCAGGACTTGTCCGTTCACGGTAGCTACTTTTACATTTTTCGAACTCCCTCCCAACCTCTTATGCCATATTTTTTTCCGTTCGTCATCCCGCACCCGTTGAATAATAATAATAATAATAATAATAATAATAATAATAATAATAATAATAATAATAATAATAAGAATTCGATCAAATAGAAAAAAAATTTAGCTGTAAATATAAATTTTATAAACCCGTTTGCGTATGTTAAACGATAAATTTTTTCTCGAAAAGAAAATCACCAATGTAATTTTCGTCTGATGGATAAAAATGTGTGTATAATTTTTTTTTAAGAGTCGAGGGTTGCCTGAAAATTATATTCTGATGCCGTGTGTGATGAAAGAACTTATCCCAATTCGCGAGACTTGTAGCGTCAAAGGAACCAATTTAAAAAAAAATAATTCCCTTCCAAGATTATCAGTGAGATAAAAAATATAAACGCAAATGAAGAAAAAGAAAGAAAACCTCAAAAAAAAAACAATCAAATGTTTAGATCAGGAGGCGAACATAACCACAAAATTTTTGACCTGGCAAAAAAAAATTCCCGTTTCAATAGAAATTTATAGTTAAATTTTTAACTGGACATAATTTTTGAAATTCGCGCGCAATAACTGTTCTACTTTACCGACAGTGCATAGAGTGGAAACTCAAAAGACAAATCAGATACTGTAATAAAAAAAAAACAATCTGGTAAAACAGAAATATGGTACAATACAATAATAATAGAAAATAATTCCACTTTATGTACTGTCGGTACAGTAGATCACTTATTGCGCGGTAATTTATACTGTATAGCATAAAAAAAATATATATATTGTCATTAATATAAGCTACTTCGTTTATTTTCTCTTTCCCACTTGAGGCGCAAATAATTTGCAAAAGGATTGCAGCGCGATAATGTGCATCAAATGCATGCTTATTGTCAGTTGATTAAGCCCCAGGAGTGTCGTTAAAGCGCGACACTCGTTAATACTAAAAAAAAAAACCACCTAACTCCGCGTTGACACGGGCTTATATATAGTTTCGCCGAGAAAATAAATTACACTTTAGAAAATAACAATTACTCATATTTTATGTAATTTATCTGCATGTTAAATAATAATATATATTATTATTATTCTTATTTTTATAATTATTATTACAGTGTTAATATATTTTTCCAAAAAGAAAAAAAAAAACAAAAGATATAATAATTTATTATCGCGAGACCCCCTTGAGAAAAAAAGAGAGTATCTTTTAAAAATCTTTACACTTCTTTTTTTTTTTAGAGAAATAATAATAAATAAATAATATGCTAGCCGTTTGGAAAAATTACCCTTTGTCTAAAAGTTGACAGTTTCTTTATGACTTAAACGCTGAAAAAAAAAAATGAGCAATAAACCACAAAATAGTTGAAAGTTGAGGGACACTCATGTCCGGAAAGGGAAACGTTTCTTTTTTTCTTTTTATTTTTTTTATTTTTCGTATAATCGGCAGAAGTTAATTATGGTAATTATATACGTGGAACAATGCAGCACATGCCGCGGTAAATATGAACCGCGTGTCAACGGCATTGTAAACAAATTTTTTGTCTGCCGAACGCCTCTCTTCGTAATTCGTTTATTACCCGCGTTCCGGTAAGCTACTCTCTTTCTCTCTCACTCTCTTTTAGACAAAAAAAAAATATTGTATATATAATGAAGAGCACAAAAGTGTTCGCATTTTGTGTTGGTTGGTTTAAAAGCATTTTGCCATTGGCACAAACATTCCAAACTAAAATCGGTCAATAAAATCATTATTTAAATATTTCGAGCAGTTGCTCGTATTGTGCCACTTTTTTCCCCCTCGAGCCAACCAAACGTGTTGTTCAAGCAATTCACTTTAAATTGTCTATTGCACTTCTGACACCATCCAGGTGTAAACAGATTTTTTTTTTTTAATTGCAGTTTATTTATTTTGCCTTTTCTTCAAAGCAGTATTTTTAATTATAATATAATATACAATAAAATATATAATATATTATATATATATTTGACCTCATTTTGAGGTTATGTTTGAATCTTAAAAAAGCGGAAGCAGCGATATATTTTTGTAACATGGAGAGATAAAAAAATATATCGCTGCTTCCGCTTTTTTAAGATTCAAACATAACCTCAAAATGAGGTTAAATTTCCGGGACGGAAGAAGAATATAACCTCAAAATTCAAGATCAGTGTCAAGGCAATGAGCCAAAGGGGCAAATATAACCTCAAAATTATAGAAAGATATTGAGTAAAAACAAATAACATATATGTATTATTATTATTATAATTATTTACCTTTATCTCTGCTGTCTGCAATTGTTTCTGTCATCAAAATTGTTGTAACCTAAAAATTTTAAATAATGTAATTATTTTTTTATTCTGAACAGAATGTAGTTTTAATGTTCAAGAACAAGTGTTCGATAAAAGTCATCATAGCTATGTGGTTAGAGTACACAACTCGCGTCCTGAGGGTCTTGGGTTCGAACCCACACGCGGGAGAGATTTTTCAAATTTATGCTCAAGTGTATTTCTATACTGTACAGGTAAAAAAAATGTCATTTAAAAAAAAAATAATCTCATACAAAATAGGGCAATTTTAAGGAAAACTGAAAAGGCCCTGATAAGTATTATTCTAAGGTATTGATAAGTAAGGTATTGATTAGGAACAGGTGAAACAAAGACATGATAAGTATTTCTCTAAGTAGGGTATTGGTCGGGAACAGTGCGTAGGGCACTAGTAGGGCTCTGGTCAGTTTCTCTGGAATCGTCCAGATAGGGAAAACTGACCAGTACCCCATTAGATCCACATTTAAATTTCTTCTCACGTTATGGGTGAGAATATAAAATAAAAATAATCTTACAAAATAGGGCAATTTATAGAAAAAAATGACAAGGCTCTGATAAGTTCATCCCTAAGTAGGGTATTGGTCAGGAACAGCGTAACAAGGCCCTGATAATTATTTCTCTAATTAGGGTATTGTTCGGGAACAGTGTAACAAGGCACTAGTAGGACTGACTAGTAGGACACTAGTTTCTCTGGACAAGAACCAGATAGGGAAAACTAGTCAGCACCTCATCAGGCCCCCATTTCAATTTCTGCCCAAGTATCGACTAGCGAAATTTTCCTTTTTTTCATTTTGATAACAAAAAAAATGTTAATACTTTTTACATAAAATAATATCGAAACTAAAAAATTATAATAATTTTTTTTAACACACTTGACACATCTCAACGGGGTTCTCTCGATATATATTATGGCTTCCATAGTGTCGGCGAGGCATAATTAAACGATGCAATTAAAAGGATAATGGCGTTCGATCTCGCGAAGAAAAGAATAAGAGAGAGAGAGAGAGAAGGAGACAGAGATAGCGGTAGTAAACTGTAACAATAGCCGGAGGGTGATGGGCATTGTCGATGATAATATTGATTAATTATAAAGTAGAAACCTTCTTACGCGTGAGTTTTTAGTTCATATATAAATATAGTATATACATGATTCTTTGCGATCATCAAAGTGTTCATCATTAACGACTGGAGCTCTTTTTAACAAGTGTGGGAAACAAGTTACGCCTCCATGTTCTAATTTTCATCTTTGGCTTTCAACTCTCATGGCGGTCTTTTGTGCGCGCCTCTCGACCCCAAGCGATTGCATCCAATTTTCTTTTGTCTTCCTTACATCGAAAAAAAAAAATATATATATATATATATAACTGTCCTTCGAATATCTTCATTAATTATGCCAACCGCATGCGACACGAAAAGAACAAAATTACAACTTCCTTGTTTACTGTCTTTTTTTCCAACTGGTAATTATCACCTACTTTCAATTGTTTAATTATCTAATTCCCTCATTATATATACCATTGTCTAATTATCAACAAGTATATATATTCATTTGTTTAATTATGCAATTTCTATAATTATTTACTTTGCTTAACACTCAATTCCTAAAATTCCATATACCAAAGAAAAAAGATTTCTTTGAAACAAAGAAATCGTTTTCTTTTCATCACTTTTTGAATCAAAGATGAAATTTGTTTGATTTAAAAAAAAGTTTTCTTTCCTAAGTCTAACTCAACAGCGTATAAACATAGTCGATTTTACGTGCGGGATAAAAGAATATCGAAAAGGAAAACACTCGATAATTAATGACACTTCGATAAAAATAAGAGAGTAAATTTAAGGGTACAAGTCTTAATAGAGCAAGAAAAAATTTCACAAATCGATTTATATATTTATAAATAAAAAAGAAAACGCCAATGTCATTTTTTTTTTCTTTTATATTCATAAATTATTAATTTCAAAATTCGTGGGACTAATTGATAAATGGTATATTTGGTATTAGGAGTGACGAAAGTTAACATCCATTAAATTTTCTTCAAAATGTCGGGTCACCATCGTACTTTCCTTTGACATCAAGTGGTAATTAATTAAGTTTGACTTGCCGCGTGAATTAGAGGGGTCTCTCTCACTCACACTCTAGGAGTCGATTAATTAATTGTAAACTTCAAGCGACCAGCTAAGGAGAAATCGTTCATTGAGGGGATTTTGTCACCTTTTAAAAGCTCCTACAAAAGGCTTCAAGCTTCACAGAAGCTTTCACATCAGACAATCGAAAATAAAATACAATGGACTGAGAAAGTGTTTGGAAAAGAAAAAATTCGTATAAAAAAAAAATTACAGATTCAAATAAAAACCTTTTTTTGAGGCTTTAAGTACAAATATTAGCAAATATTGGCAAATTTGTTACCGAGTTTCACATAATAACCTCTTTCGCACTATTTAATTGTTGGAAAACTTGTTACCTACTTTACCGACTGTTACATAACCTAATTCCTGGCAAATTCGTTACCTACTTTACCGACTCTAACATAACCTCTCCTTCAGTGTTTAATAATGTCAAACAAATACAAATTCTATCGAAAAAAAAGTCCAAAATATTGAAAAATATTCATTAAAAGAAAGAAAAGACAATACTCAATGACAAAAGAACAAGAAACGAGGAAAGGAAAACAAAATAAAGAACATTAGAATGTAAAAGCATAAAAATTTGAAAAAAAAGGCAAGAAATGGAAAACATTTAAAGGACCCGCTATTATATTGTCCCAAGAAAAATGGAGTGATCGTTTCCCCCCACCTACATCACAGAAAAAGTGCATTTTTTTGCAATGGTCACAAGAGCGTTGGATATGTTATAGTACATAGAAGGGAATGGAAAAGAAAGAAAAAAAATTAGAGAAAGCGCGCGCACACACGAGAATAAAAGAAAGGAGAAAAATAAAAAGGGGAAGCAGTTAAATTCGCGTTGCATGTGTGTGCAACGAGAGAATCCTCCACTCGTCCAATCCTTTGTTTCAAACGTTAGCTAAGCTTTTGTTTCGGTTATACGAGCGAGGATAGAGAACGAGGGCCGCTCTAATAAAACGAAAAACGGCCCCAAGCCACTTTACAATGCCTTATATTTGCATAATTTCGCGTAATCTCCGCCATTTTGGGTCTCGCGATTCGTTGCCCTCCCCCCTCTTCTTTTTTTCCTCCTACCGACACACGTCTCCTTCTTTTACTTTATATATATATATATAAACTCATGCTCCTTGCAGAATTAATTTACGACCCGCACCGGCCTTTCGCTCTCCCTCCGTGTGTGCAATGCTCTTTTTCTGCATCTTGCACGAAATTCAAATCACAAAACAAACGTCAAATTATAACAGATTCACAATTTTTCTAATTAACTTAAAAATGATCAATTTTACACTAATAATAACAATTTTCATTTAAAAACAAAAAAAGCGTTTTTTTTACCGAAAGTAATATCAAAAACTTGATTTACATTTTTTAAACAAGGAAAACTAGACAGAGCCCGACTATAGCCCTAATTCAAATAGGGCGAAGTGGTGCAATTTTTCCACTAGTTTTTTTAATCTTTTAAACTAGAAATGTCAAAAAAGTAGTTTCCTAAGTTTTTTTTTTACCTTTTTAAGGTTTTTAAGTTATCTTTTTTCAAATAAGGAATACTAGCAAGGCCCTGATCAGTGCCCTTTTTTGAATTTTTTTACAAAAAGTAATTTTAGAACTTATTTAAATTTTTTTAAACTAGGAAAACTGTTTAGGCCCTGACTAGTTCCCTTTTTCAAATTTGTTGTTAACCATACTTGGGGTTTCGTCTAGGAATACTTGTCAAACCCTTAAATAGAAAAAATTATCAAAATACTGGTCTAATGATATATTTAATTGTTAATATATTTTTTTAACAAAAGGTAATCTTAAATTTTTAGTTTATTTACATTTTTTCAACAAGGAAAACTAGAGGAAGCCTGACCACAGTCTTATTTTAAATACGGCGAAGTGGTGTAATTTCTCCATTAGTTATTTTATATCTCAAACTAGCAATGTCAAAAACTTAGTCTATTTACTTTTTTATTCCAAACAGGGAAAACTAGGGAGGCCCTATTTTAAATAGGGCTATGGTCAGAGGCTCCCAAGTTTTCCCTATTTGGAAAAATGTAAATAAACTAAGTTTTTGGACATTCCTAGTTTAAAAGATGTAAATAACTAGTAAAGAAAATGTACCACTTCGCTGTAATTAGAATAGAGCTGTAGTCAGACTCTCCCTAGTTTTCCTTGTTTAAAATAAATGTAAATTACACTAATGTTATATTACCTTATGTAAAAAAAATTAATTGACAATTAAAGAGAATGTTTAGACCAGTGTTGTGATAATTTCTTCTATTTTAGGGGTTTGACAAGTATTCCTAAGCGAAACCCCAAATAGGATTATCAACAAATTTTGAAAAAGGAAACTAGTCAGGGCCTCAACAGTTTACCCAGTTTAATGTAAATTAGTTATAAAATTACTTTTTGTAAAAAAAATTCGAAAAAGGGCATTGATCAGGGCCTCACTAGTATTCCCTATTTAAAAAAAAGATAAATAAACTAAGTTTTTGACATTTCTAGTTTAAAAGATAAAAATTAGTAGAGAAATTGCACCACTTCGCTCTATTTGAAATAGAGTTATAGTCAGGCTCTGCCTAGTTTTCCTTGTTTGAAAAAAATATATAAATAAATCAAGTTTTTGACAATAGTTTCTGTAAAAAAAATATATTATCAATTAAAGGAAATCTTTAAATTAATAACTTTTTAATAATAACACGTTATTTGTTAAAATATAAAGTACAATGGAATTTGAAGAATCTTTTTTTCGCAGGAATGTGAAACGGTTGTTAATGGGTGTTTGGCAGTGAAGATGAAATTCAAATGATTGAGAGCAATTGGATTGTTGGTGTTCAGTTCAATCAAAAAGCGAGACACGCCATTCTCTCGTTATATTGAGGAGAGAGGAACTTGAAACTTGTGATCGCGCAGAGGCAGGAAGTTTAATATGTGTGAACGCTCCTTTATTAGTAGCGTGACCAATGAGCGCTGACGTTATTAATCAAAAGTCTAACACCGCGTACATATATATAGTTTCTCATATATATATATATACATCCCATTTCGATTCTACACCTTTTTTTTTCTTTTTACGCAAATGTTAATTAAGAATTCCAGATAACTTTTGCCATTAACGTATTTTTTAATCGTAAATTCTTGTAATAATTTAAATACATAATTTATTTAATTAATAAAATCTTTTTTTTTATATTTTACCCGGTGCCTTACGCATAATTCTTTAGAATTAAAAAAATTTGTCGCCTTACTGCGCATATACATATAACTATAGAAACTGCTGTTATTACATCAAATAACTATACCTATATATAAATTAACTTGAAAGTTAAATTAAACAATCAAACAAAAAAAAAAGTTTTTTTTATAACAGTAATGCAGACCAATTAGAATTGGCGTGCAATTTTATATAGAACGCGGAAAACGCGCGGATGCGTCAATCGAGATTGTAAAACTGTTGCGCCTATATATATAACGAAGAAAAAGAAAGTGAAGATTTCTTAAAAGCGCGATGCAAGATCGAGAGATTATGACACACACGCTAGGAAATGAAATTGGTTGGGGGCTCGCGGGTTGAGAACCGAGATGGCTAAATAAAGTAATTGTTGCCATTACCTCGCCAACATTATATATATATATATATATATATGTATATATCCGTATGTGTCAAAGGAACGTGTGCAGGTGTATTAAACAGTGGGTGTGAGGTCTGATGCTCGACTTGTGAGAACTCGAGCAATTATCCGCCATAGTATTCAGATCGCAATCCACGGCTCATTCATAACGAATTAATTTAGATGTCTTAATTGCATCGGTTAATTGTTCACAATGGTAAATGTACATAGGTGCAATAAGTCTTTTATTTCTCCAAGAACTATATACATGAATGCAATTGCGATTACCCCCAACTTTGTGTATCTCAAATAGTATACCTATCAGTTTGCTGTGAAAGTATAATTTTTAATTTAGTCGAATTTAATTTTGTGTTTTCAAAATATGAATTATTTTTGTATACAATACTGAAAATTAAAACTGGGAGGAATAATAAAGAATTTACTGCGCAGTCGTAGGTCCCATAGAATTCGACTGCGCATCGTTTTAAGGTTACGCGGTTATCTTCCTTGAAAAACCTTAAAACGATGCGCAGTCGAATTCTATGGGACCTAAGGCTGCGCAGTACATTTTTTATTACACATTAAAATTGGGAGGAATAATAAAAAATTTACTGCGCAGTCGTAGGTCCTATAGAATTCGACTGCGCATCGTTTTAAGGTTACGCGGCTATCTTTCTTGAAAAACCTTAAAACGATGCGCAGTCGAATTCTATGGGACCTAAGGCTGCGCAGTACATTTTTTATTATACTTCCCAGCTATAATTCTCAGTGTATATATACAAAAATAATTCATATCTCGAAAAAACAAAATTAAATTCGACTTAAAAATTATATTTGCGCGACAAACTTATGTGCTAATTGGTATATTAATATCAATCTGAAATTCCGACCAAGATCATTTTGAATCATTGAGACTCAATTCGATATACTAAAAATGAATTGCAAAATTTAAAATGAATCCAAGATTTATCTACGTGAGTGCAGATATCACGTGTGAGAATAATAATTCTCTTTTGGTGTAAACCGCGACTCAAATAAGCATTTCTCTAATGAGATACATATATTTATACAAGTGCTTTCACCGCAAGCCACACACTTCCGCCATATATACGACTAGTTGATTTATTAATGTGTTTAATAATCAGCTATAAGATAGCGCGATTAAGCAATCATTATAATTAAGAGCTTGATGCATTTAAATATATTCGACATGCGCGGTGTCTCTCTTTGAAAACATTTAACGAGCGTAAAAATCAGAATTTATATGTCCCATTAAACCAAAGAGATTGTTTAAAAAAAAAAATTCTAATTAAAAATGACTACGCGATGATATAGATTTTTCCAGTTGACTGAAAAAATGTTGTATCCTAATTGAGAAGTTTATGTAGAAAATTCAACTTCAAATGTAAATATATATATACTCTCTAAATCTGAATTAGTAAAAATGTTTACTAATTTGAATTAGTGACTCACTTTTTGCTTCTGAATTAGTAAAATTTTACTAATCATTAGTAAGTTTTACTAACAATTAGTAAAATTTAACTAATTCTAAAACAAAAAGTGAGTTACTAATTTAAATTAGTAAACATTTTTACTAATTCAGATTTAGAGAGTATGTCCTCTTGACCTATGTCCTAAACATTTGATAATTAGGATAATTTTGAGGTTATGTTTTCATGTTTGTTAGTTTGACAAGTCATAAGCGATAGTCGGGTCTGAGGTTGAAAAATAATTTCAAAATTAGGTCAAAGTTCAGGGACAAAATACTATAACATATCAAAAGGACGTTAGGTTTGAGAATAAAATCAGCGAACCTAACCTCAAAATTACGTCACTTTCTGGGTTAAGAGAGCGAATCAAAATTCAAGGTAAAATTTTAAGTTCTTATACATATAAAGAAGTTAAAATCATTAAATAACCTTAAAATTACATCAATACTCAGAACGAAAATACGAACATAACTTAAAAAAATTGAAGATTTAGAAGGGTACCTCCAGTATAATAAAATATAAGATAATATAATTTAATAAATATTTTGTGTTGGATAAAATAATGTTTTAATGTATTGAAATTCTATTTTTCAAAACGATTTTACTGCTTTAAAACTTGAGCTTGGAAAAATTTTCATTCTATTATCTTAAAAAGCAGATATTAATTTTATTATTTTTTCAAAGCGAAAAAGTTGATAAAAGAAAACAATAAATAAAGACATTAAATAACTAACATTGAATAGTATATTGCTCTTTGCAAATAGTTCAGTATTGTGGATGCCTATCAAATAGAAACATCAGTTGAGTTTACATATTTATTTTAATATAATATATTTTGATCCAACAGATAAAAACATTATAATTTTCAAATCTTCAACTTTTTTAGAAAAATGATTTCTTTAAAAGAATTTTTTCTTCTATTTTTCGTTACCTTTTCCCTAGTAGATAGTTGGCTATGGCAGAAAGTAAGATTTATTATATAATCATTTTAAATGTGTAATTTCACATTAAAATATTCTCCACATATTTCCCCACAAAATTTTAGATCAATCTATTTTATATTTTGCTAGAAAATCTATATAAAAATATTTATTCACAACCATATGACCGTAATAGATGATAATCAAAAATTTTCTTTTAGACATTACATTTGGGTGAAGAATCAGATACGTTCGTAAGTTACAAAAATTAATATTTAAATTATAAGTATAAATTTTAAAGTTTGTAGTTGTGTTTTGCTTCATTTTTTTGAAGTGTTCTGAATTTTAAAAATATAACGGATTAACTTTGGTAGACTAAAGAAAAAAAAATTACTAAATTCGATACTTAATTGAAAAAAAATTTTTTTTTGAATTTCTTTTCTATAAAACAAAATTAGGGTACAATCAAGAAATACACAAGAGGCATGAAATCACTGTTGGTACCTTATTTTGTGAGAAACTGCATAACAGAAGTTGAAAGACGTGGATTGGAAGAAATAGGATTGTACAGAGTATGCGGCTCAAAAAATAATATAGAAAAGATCATAAAATCGTATAGAAAAAAGAAGAACGCAGATTTATCGAAATTTGATGACATTAATGACATTACCGGAGCACTTAAATTGTTTTTACGGTAAACTTAATTTATAAATTTATTAAATATCTTATTTAATTTATTATTTAGAAGATTTAAAACAATAAATCTTTAAATTCAGATCAATGAAAGGGCGAATAATTGATGTAGATTTGGGGAAAGAGCTTCTACTCGCTATTGAAAATTTATCACCAAATTTGGAAACGGAATTGAAAGAAATAATTTCCAAACTTCCAACACCAAATATTCAAACTCTTGCTTTTATAATTTTACATTTGCAAGTGGTACCTAGAATACCAGAAAATGAAATGAATATTCCCAACTTGGCTATAGTTGTTGCTCCAAGTGTATTCAGTGATATTGGAATTGCTCCTAAAGACAGTATAGCAATTGTTAAGTCGAGAATCAAGGTAACTAAACATTATATTTATTTTACTTTAATTGGCATAATCGCATCATCTATTGTTAAATTTTAGTTTTTGTAGATCTTTGAAAAATTATTAGAAATACCATCCGATTTTTGGTATGAGCTTCTTCGATTGGTAAGTATGTAAGAAATAAGTTTAAGTATCAATATTTTAATTTGAAAAAATTGCAAACTTCACACTAGTATACAATCACTAACTTCACATAATCTAAATTATTACATATTTTCTTTCTAGAATGATGCTTCGGAAGCAATGGAAGAAGAAGTTTCAGATACGGTAAAAATTATTTAATATTTTTAACTTACTTTTATTTTCTAAATAAACCCTTATTTTTCATATTTGGCCCTATTGCATTTGGTAAAAATTTTTATTGTTATTTTCATTGAAAAGTTAAAATTTTCTAGTGAACTTCAAAAATAGTACAAGAAATCGATTACTATTAATATTTTGTCAAAAAAGTCACTTTTAAAAAATTTGAATATTTTTTCTCTTTTTTAGGATAGTATTATATTTGAAACATATAATGAAGATGAATATGAAGAAAGCAAAAAGAAACCAAGCGATGAAGCAAGTCTTTCGAGTGGTATTTCGAGTGATATTTCGGATGATGTTTCAATTAATCTTTAAACATCAAATGAGGTAAAAATTATTTAACATATTTAATGTACATAGAACTATTAAATATATGAGTCATTCTTTGGAAAAATTTTAAATTAAATTTACAAATTTAAAGCTATTGGATTGGCATCATACTTTGGAAAATAATTAAGTAAAATTTATCTGTAATTTTAATTTCTTTTTTTTTTTCAGAAAAAGTGCAGAGACTAATTTTTAGCAAAAGCTGAAAAAAAATCACTTTGCATCCACTTTCAAAGTGGCAGGATAAAAAAAATGTATTAAGATTTTGTTCTAATCAATAAAGAATTGAAATCATATATTTTTATTTTCATTTCAAATCTCTATGATCCTTTACTAATTATAAACTCTGAGAAAAATTTTGATTCAACTAAATATACGATTTTTTTTGTATGTAACTCTATTTTTTGGTTATATTTTGAAAAAAAATTATTAACTTTATTCAACTAAATATAACAAGAAGCATTATATGCACTTTTATGAATTAAAATCTCACTTTTCTATTGAGAAAGTGAAGACTTTCAGTGTATTAATTAAAATGGCTATTACATAATCATAATACAACGCTTATTGTGTTGCTTCCTGCACACAACTGATATAGCGAGTCTTTGCGCAGAAAATACTAAAAACAAATGCTCTTAAGATGCTCAGATTAGATGAACAATAAAAATTAGTTCAAGCATTTAAATTCACATAAATAAGTAAAAAAAAATTTATTCATCGCGTTTAATTTAACAGAATTCTCATTCAATCGAATTTTTAAATGACAAAAATTCCAATTCACCGAATTTTAATTTGTCCGAATTTTTAATATGATAGAATTTTTAAAACGCCGAATTTTCATTTAACCGAATTTACAAATGGCCGAACAAACAATCGGAAGAAAGATTTCGGCGCAATTTTTAAAATTAACCAATTAAAAATTATCAAGAATATCAGGATTGGTCAATTGTAAAAAATTGCACCGAAATCTTTCTGTCGATTGTTTGTTCGGCAATTTGTAATTTCGGATAAATGAAAATTCGGCGTCTTAAAAAATCGTACAAATTAAAATTCGGTGAATTGGAATTTTTGTTATTTAAAAATTCGAAACGCGCATAAAATTCGGTTAAATTAAAATTCATATAAATTAGAATTCTCTTAAATAAAAAGTTATGTAAAGAAAATTACTGTAAATTCTGAACACTGATCCGATGTCAGATTTATAAAAATTCAAAATGGCAGAACCAATATGGCGGTCGAAAAAATTTAAAAATTGTTCAAATCTGTTTGAAATTTGTTTCTCAAGGATTTTCGAGGTCGCTGATTACGAATCCGTCATCACATTGACAAAATTTAAAATGGCGGATGCAATATGGCGGGTGAAAAATAGAAAATTTCGCCAAAACAACACAAAATTGGTGTCTTAGGGGTTTTTTGGAGTCGCTAAATACGAATTTGACGTCAGATTTGCAGAATACAAAATGGCGGATGCAATATGGCGGTGAAAAATAGAAAATTTCTCCAAAACAACACAAAATTGGTGTCTTAGGGGTTTTTGGAGTCGCTAAATACGAATTTGACGTCAGATTTGCAGAATACAAAATGGCGGTGAAAAATAGAAAATTAATGTCTCGGGGGGTTTTTAGGGTCGCTGAACACAAATCTGATGTCAGCTTTGCAAAATTCAAAATGGTGAATCTATTATGATGGAATAAGTTAAAAATTTTGTTTTTTATTCTCAAAATAATTTTTGCACGTGAACATTAAACGAATTTAAAATCCGGTTGACGTTTTCTTTTTTTATTATGAATATATATATATATATATATATATAGTAAAATAGCCACAGGGAATCGATGGCAATTGTCCCTTTGCTCTGGATTAACACGTCTAGAGCTTAAGTACGATGTTAAGTAACCAACGGTGGGTATTATAGGGTGGGCTTGTTGTAAAGTCAGTTTGCAGTATTATAATGGAAAGGTGCGTTAGGAGAAATAACGAGCGAAGCGCTACGCCACGTGAGCAACTGCCAACGCGAGGTCTGTGGCAGTGATTCTATGGCTTCTTCGCACGACAGGCCAATAAAATGTTTCCACGAGGATACTATATAATACCACGCGCACTGTAAAATGCTAATTCTCATGGATTCTAACGCGTTTCCAAACGGATTTCACTCGCCAGTCTCCCCCTCTCCTTTCTCTCTCTCTCTCTCTCCTTCTCGCGGAAATATTTCCGCGTCTTCCGGGTAAAGAACCTCGGCGCCATTCACACTTATATATATATATATATCACGAGATAGGGATAAACTTCACCCCGCTCAATTAGCGTTGAACGTGAAAATTAGCAAAGGTGAAAAGCAATTTCTGCCCCCTCCTTTAACTATTTATTTTCTACTTGCAATTGTTTCCCAGAAGTAAATCAAGTGGGCAATAAGTGAACTGTTTATTTCAACTGAAAATAAGAGTGTTTTCATTCTACGATTTTTTTTTCTTGCGTCTTATGCAAATTATTTTCAAACGCATTATTTGGCTCAAGGTAAATGTCGTGTTTATGAAAATGGCAAACAATTTGTGTTCAATTTTCAACTGTGTTTTCTTTTTTTTTAATGTCAAACATGCAAGAAAATTATATTTAATAATTTTAAAAAATGATTCTCTAAAGATTTCACATATAATTGGAATTTAACATAACTGAATCACTTTTGTGTAAGATCTATACTTTGAAATTCAGTTAAATTTTACTGAAAATTAGTCGAATTCTTCACTGATTTTAAACAGGAGAAACATTCAAGAAACAGTCAACATCGGTAAAACAGGTTTGACTGTTTTTATCGATTAATCTGCAACTGTTTTACCGACTAATGATAATGCAGATTTGACTGTTTCAATCAATAAAGTAGATTTCTACTAATTTTCCCTAAAATATAACTAAATTTTAGTGAAGATTTTACTAAATTGATGCAGTAGCTATAATTTAGCTATATTTTTAAAATTTGCTACTTTCAAGTTAACGGTGAGTTGATAATAAAAATAGATTAAATTTTTTTTCCGTTAATTTAAATTAAAAAAAAAAAATTTATAAAATTTACCGTGAACGTTCTCTGTTGATTATACAAAATATTTGTCATTGAAAGACGATGATGAAAGTTGCGGAAATTACGATTTGGTCCAAATTCAACGAGATCGAAATTCTGAAACAGTTTGAAAATTAAATTAGTTATGGTATAATAAATATTTGAATTCTCATGAGAGAATCATTCAGTTTCAAATGATGGGAAATAAATCAAAAAGAGATATAAAAAAAATTGAGATATTTAGAAAGGATAGTGAAAAGTTAAAAGACTACATTTACAACAGATTTTTCATGTCAATTTTTTTCTCTCCCCCCCCCCCCAATCCTTTCTCCTATTTCAAAAAGATAGATGCTAATTTTCAGGCGTGAAATCAGAAAGCGACGCTGTTAGATATCAGATGTAATGAGGCGCTCAAAACACAAAGTATATATATATATATATATATATATATATATATATATATATATGAGAGAATAAAAGTGTAAACGATCGAAAAAGTCGTTAACTGCTTGGAAATCGGTAATCGCCGAGAATAATTGACTCCTCTTTATAACTGCCCATGTTTTTATAAGACGCCTAGAAAACAAGAAAAATCTTTTGGGGGAGAGAAGAAAAAAAGCATTAATAAAAATGATTCCTCCATTAGAAAAGATGTTCCACTAAATTATCACCTTTTGCTTTCAATAACGAGAAAAAGTTCTGACATTATCAAATGATCAAGTTAAACAATAAAATTAAATAATGAATCATAATGTATTAAATTATATATAAAAATGATCATAAATTATTATCGTATCTAAACAATAAAATATATACAAATCGGTGTGAATAAATCTAAATTACTGATGAATCTAATTTTAGATTTATTTTTTAATTAAATTTAAATCCAAAATTATGTACAGATTTGAATAATTAATGGTTAATTTATTGTCATGAACATAACCTCAAAACTTAAACTAGTTCCCCATCTGTTTGCTGCCTTTCGAACTAGCCTAATAAGTTTTGAGATTATGTTCATGATAATAAATTGAATTTCAAATCTATTAGAATGTCCGCTGGGGGCGTGGCTTAGCATTTTACCCTACGACTAGTAGTACCATTTTTCGCCACTATGTCTAAAAGTCACTCTGATTACACCTATTTTTGCCATACCTGTTGCAGCTTCTAAAGTACTGTGAAGAAAATGTTTGGTTATATTTTTTATTTCGAGGTTATGTTACGATCATCAGATAATGTAATATTTATTCTATTCAGATTAAAATAATCATGCTATTGCAACAAAAAAAAAAAAAATTAGACTTCGAAATATTCCACGAATATAAACACTAAAAAAAAAACTGATTGGAAGGGGCAAAAAAATTCTTTTGTCGAATTTGACGAGTACATTAGAGAATCATTAAGTCGGATATTTCAGTTCCACAGCATGAACGATTCCAAGGCCACCACTTGCTGTGCACGTCATCTATCTCTTGAGCATGGTAAAAAGAAGGCATAATTAAATTAAATTAACCCTCTCTGGAGAATGAAAGAGGAAAGGTAGAGAGAGAGAGAGAGAGAGAGAGAGAACGAGAGAGAGACTTAGGGAACCTCGGCTACAACTCCTCAGAAGTTGCTCGCAGCTTTATTTGCAAGTAATTCGCGCGAGTACAAAAAAAAATTTGAAAATAATGTCCTGTTATTAATCATATTCCTTGGCACCCTTGACTGACGCGCTACTCATGGCAAACCCCCTCCCCTTCATCCCTCTTTCTCCCTCTCTTTCTCTCTCTCTCTCTCTCTCTCTCTCTCTCTCTTGGCCAAACCACAATATTCTGTATTACGCGAGTAAATATATGCACGCGCATATGTGCATGACTACAGGTAATTACCTGGCAGTCATTTTGCATAGTTGCTTAAAATTAAGTCTCTTATAAAAACATTTTGATAATCTAGGGATGTGAAGAAAATTTAAATTACACACGAGCATGTAATTTAGACAAAAATACCACCTTTTATAAAGAAAAAAAAAATTACTCTAAATAAAAAGTATAAATCATAGTGTAAATAATGATAGAAAATATTGATCAATAATACCAACAAAATTATAATAAACAAAGAAATTAGTATTATTACTATTAACAATAATAATAATAATAATAATAACAATAATAATATTAAAAAGAAGAAGAACTATAATAATATTAATAAATAATACTATAAAGCGTCAATATAAATATACAAATAGAGAAAATTTGAAAAAAAAAAAATTTATTTTTAATTTAATTAACTTCAAACTGAAAAGTATGTTCTATAATCAAAATCGAAATCTCTCTTTTTCTGCTCTCAACTTTATATATTGTTTCGAAATAACGGTAACAATAACATTGTTGAAAAATGTCTCGAAATAATTGAAAAATAATCTGAGAACTAGGAAAAGTAGTTAAAAATATATAATTAGCTTTTCCCTTTGTCTCATGAATGTGAAGCTAATCGTAAAAACTACGTCGTTTAAAAAGATGTTCTAATTCTTAAAATATTAAACTATAATTGTCATAAGTTTTTTTTTCATATTATTTTATTTTTTTTTTTCATTCCTTAAATCTATCACTCTATTTACATAAATCGAAGCTTTATAAAATTTTATCAATCAAAAGCACAAACTACATATATAATTACAAATGAAAAGAGGGAAATTAACAAAAAAATTTTTTTTTCATTTTTGTAATTATGTATTAAGTGCTTCAGATGTAATTAATTTACTCAGAAAAAAGTAGATATGCGTCAAGAAAATCTTAATTTTAAGTTTCTATTTAAATAAATATTTTAGAAAAATCTTGAAAATACAAAAATATTTTTATAATACAAGAAAATTAAATTAAAAATAATAATCATATTAAAAAAATAAACAAAATCAAATTTTTTTTTTAGGAAAAAAGCAAAAATTTCCTTTAATTAATCTTTTTGTTAAAAATAAAATTTTCTTCATTCGCATATCTCTACTTTTTTCAGTGATAAAAAAAAAATCGTACCTAGAAAAATTAGTCCTAAATTTAAGATTTCCTTTGTTTTTTAATGGGCGCCAATCCACTGTCGAATTCAGATGTATTGAGCATACGTACTTTTTTCAAAGATCCACTTTTAGTGCCAATTCCTCCAATTTGTTTCTTTTGTGGCATCCTTGCTGGTCTGAAAAGCAAAAGGGATCATCTTAATCGTCACATTAAGGTAACCTGTAATTTTCAGTAATTTATCGTAAAATGACATGTGTCCAGAGACTTGTGAGGACATAATGTAATAATGAAAATTTGACAAACAAAAAAAAAAAAAAGGAAACAAAAGAAGAAAAAAAACGATTTACTCTAAAACGTCGGGGTTACACTAAAATATCACGCGAGACTATATATATATACCAACTGGCATGCCGAATTCCTTTATTGCCGCTCAGTTTTTGCTTCTGCAATTCATTTTTTCCCCCAGATAACATATTCTCAAATCTCAATTATCAGCTAAATATTATTTTATTTTAAAAATTAAATAGCTGTAAAATTTTGTTAAAAATATTTCATATTATCCAAAAATATTTGAAATATTCACTAAGTCTTGAATTTTTGAGGTTATGTTTGTATATTAATTTTGTAATTAATTTTTATATTAATTTGTTTATTAATTTCAACCCGAAAAGCCTCTTAATCTAAAAACTGAAAAATTTTCCTTCAATTTTGACCCAAAAGTTGACTTAATTTTGAGGTTATGTTTATCGATTTCAATCAAACTAACAAGAGCAATTTGAGTCTCATGGAAAAAAGATAAGATTTTAATCTTTCAAGAAAGAGATATTTTCGAGAGAAACATAATATTTATATTATAAAGTATGAAGAGGCTCACAAACTCGACAAGTATCAATAATATTTGCACCTGTATCGTCACCTGCTACGAGACATGAGAATATGGGATAAAAAAAAACAAAAATGAAAATAAAATCAAACACCCTACATAAATATAACTGCAAGCACGTGCACTGAAGTGCTGCAGTTTTTTTTTTTTGCTCTTAGATTCACTGAATACGAACATGAGGTCAATTTTTCAAAATTTAAAATGGCGGATCCAATATGGCGGTCAAAATATAAAAATTTTTCGATTTTGCTAGAAACTTGTTTCTCAGGGATTTTCGGGGTCGCTAATTACGAATCTGATGTCAGTTTTTCAAAATTCAAAATGGCAGATCCAATATGGCGGCAAAAATCCGCTCGACTAATAAGTTACAAGTAAATTCAATGAAGAACAAAAAAAAAAACTACAATTACGAAATCGAATAACAAATCAGATTTGCAGGACAAATTTGTCATTGCGAAACAAAAGGTTCCCACTTCCTTTATAAACGAAAATCTCCGAAAAAAAAATATCGACTTCTATTCATTCCAAAATATGACTGCGTTTCTCACCACAAAAAGGCAACATTTCATCATTTTAATTTATCCCCGTCTATTGTATTTTGTGCCGATCGTATTATTTCCACCCCTTTTGACTGGAAATCGCACGCGACACCCTTGACCTCGTGGCCTGGGTGCGTGTTTGAGCATGCGAGCCAGTATCGAGTTCACCATAATCAGAAAGGTGGACCTGGCCTACGTCAGGTTCAGGGCTCGTGCTAGCTTCCGTAAGTGGCCGGAAGTGGCGGTCGCATCAGTCTGTTTAATAGCCGTATTGTATAATTATGAACAATAGCGAGGAACCAGAAGGGGCATGTTGGAATATAGGGACATTCAGAGAGAGAGAGAGAGAGAGTCGTGTTTCGCGAATACACCGCATATGTGAAATGTAAACCATCAGGTCCAAAGAGAGATGGCGAGACAGGTATACAGAATGAGAGAGAATCAACAACAGAGATGCGGCTAAAGAGAAGAGTGGGAGAGTTTGTGGGAGGGAGAACTAGATATGAACCGTATTGCTCATGGCCGACGACTATGCACCATGGACATGTCCACTCCGTTCCGTCCTATGTGACGAATTACATTGGTTGACAGCTTTGACGTTGGGCCCACGACATGAGTCCGTTAATTTCTCTCTCTCTCTCTCCGCACTGGCGTATAACACATAAAATGATTTATCCAAACAATGAAATTCATTTCCCTCTCCTCCTATGACATTCGTCATTTTCATGTTAATTCGAATAATTCTCCCTTCGTGTAAACAGTTCATGCTGGTTCAATATCAAATCTTACTATTAAAATTATCATTTAGCGAGTTTCTGTCAAGATTTCATTCAAAAATCCTATTGGAATTCTATTACCGATCAAGAAATCTGTTGTACCGACCTAGACTGCTCAGTCGGTAACTTACCGCCACTCACTCTATTTTTAAGTTATGTTTCGTAACCACGCCCTGTGAAAAATGTTTGGCTGTACGATTTCCGATTTTTATTTCCATTTGTAAGTTACCGACCGAGTCTAGGTCGGTACAACAGATTACTTGGTCGGTAATGGAACCCCGATAGGATTTTTAAAAGAAATCTGACAAAAACCAAAATTTGTAAACGTCTATTTATAAAACGAACATAACCTTATGAAAAAGGAAAATTTTACATATTTCGATAGAAATACAAAGATTACGCCACTGCGATATATTTTTTTTATTCCTAAGAATATGGTTATCATAAGAAGCGAGGCGTGAATCCGTCATTAATATAAGCACGAAACTCATGTCAAAATCATAGAAACATAGAAAGCTTTTGTTACTTTTGATAAAATGAGGAAGAAGATTGACAATATAAAAAAAAAATTAGTATATGTGAAAATAATAACGAGTTTCTAAAAAAAAGGGAAAATTTCAAACTGATGATCGTTCTTGACATATAGTTGCGAATAAATAATAATGTGCTTCACCGCAATTGAAACGCACAAATGTATGTATCACATCAGTCACTCGCAGCAACACAACAATTTACCACATATATACAGAATTAATGGAAATAAATCATATCGAGTATGGAAAGTAACGGTTCTAAATTGTCCTATTTGGTCTCGTTCTGTTACCTCAAATGCTCGCAAATAAATTTAAAATAATGTATAAACTCTTATTCTATGCGGTCAATCATTATCTTTGAATAATACCACATTTCTTTCAATGATATCAATTTTTCATACTCTTTAAGAATTGTTAAAAATTTTGAACTAATTTAAATTAGTGAACCAAAAAAAATTTCATCGAAATAAATAAAATTATAAAATATGATGAGAGAGATTTAAAAAAATAAATATCATTAAATACTTTAATTTTTCTGTCATAATAAAAATAACATAAAAGTCAGTCAATGAATCACGAGTAATTAAAAGGAGAAAATAGTGAAATATAGTAAAATTTAGAAGCAATTGTGTTTGCAAATTGAAAATAAAATTTATCTCTAAAGAATAAAAGAATAACAATCACTTAAGTCAAGTTAGATTTGTTAGAAGAATAGTTTTTCTCGTGCAAACAATTGGCAATAATTTTCGATAATTATCTTTCCGAGGCGTATGGAATATGCGTATATTTTCTATTCTCACGTTGTGTGAACGTATTTCGTATTTAAAAAAAAAAAGAAGAAAAAAATTCTTTAATCAGATATTAATTATTATTTTAATAATAAAAAAAAATTTAATTATTTTTTTTTCTATAAGCAATGAGACATTTTTTATATATATACGATCTGCAGGTAAACGGTACGGTAAATATATCAATCCTGTAATTAGAGATAATATCGTTTGTAACTTGAAACGGTAATGGTTACACTATATTAGAGTTATATAAAGCATCATAAGTATCTAGCATGAGTTGTATATATATTATATATTATCATTGTGTATACGATAAACGACGATGTGATAAAACCGCATGAAAACTAGAAAAGTAGTAATACTTGGTCACATAATTGGTGAGATTAGAAATCTCGCTTCTGCAAACTCGGTAGTTTAAAAAAAAAATCATAAACTAGAAAATTATATTTCTGATTAAGCAAAAATGTTTCGTGCCAAAAGAAAATTAACTTCATTTTCAAAATTATTTCTAATTTAATTTTTCATCACTAAAAATATTTTTAAAATACACAATTTTCCAATATTTTCTTTTTTTTAAGAGATTTTAACAATTTTTAAACTAATTTTTACTTTTTTTAAAACCAAAATGAATATTAAAAAATTTTTAATTTTCCTGTAAAAAAAACTTTACGAGCAATTGAAATTTTCTAAAATTTTGAAAAAGAAAAAAGAATTTAAAAGGAATTTGAACTTTTTTTTTTTTTGTTCATGGTGAAATTAAATTCCTTCTTCAATTCAAAAGAAGGACGAAAAATAAAAGAATACCAAAGATATAGTTTTCTTTCGATGAAAAGAATCCTGATGATATTCCCGAAGTCTTGACTAATGATATTTTATATACGGCATATGTAACAATAGCTTTTAAAATTGTTTTCCCATTCAATAATACAATGTATATAATAAAAGAAGTGCGTGAAAACGAAGAACTTACCTTTCATTCGACAATCTGTTGTTGTGCTGTGGCTTTGTACCTTCTTTTTCGCGAATAGTTTTTCCAATTCCACTAATTTTTTGTGGTGGGTCCCTGAGAGCAAAACTCTTCGCATAATGGCCCAAATGGAGTTCCTTTCGATCGAAAATTTCTCTCATTTCACGTGGATAACTTGCGTAAAATCGTATCCACGATATATAAGCTGAAAAAGATAAAAATTTAGGTAATGAATCATAAAAGGAAATAAATTATTTTTTATTTTTCAATTTGAAAACATTAAAAAAAATATATATATCAATAATAAAATTTTTTTTAAATCAAAATACCCCATTCGAGTGAATAATAGAAAATCTCTTTCTCGGTTGAAAATAATGAAATAAATTAGTTAAATGGAATTTTTATGAAAATTGTTGGGAATATCGAGAGTTACATAAAAGGTTTGTCACGCGAACGAAATGCTTTGTGCAAACGTGACATTGTGCTCAAAAAGCGGTCATCAAGATTAAGCGATTACTATACTACTATATATAAAAATTGTTTAATGCTTCGGATTTAATGTGAATCGAAATATAAATTTAATCTTTGGTCATATAATAATAAGAGAATTTTTATTATTGTTACTTTTGTATTTCAATAATAAATGCTCCTAAAACAATTGAATATCGTCGAAAATACATCAGAACCAAAATTATTTATGCAAAATTTTTTAGAAATACAAACACCCCCTTTGCCCAGAATAGATTTAATTAAAAAAAAACTCTACATGGGCTTAAATTACAGTAAATTTTGTCTATTTTTTGATGCCGTATGGCACTTTTTAAATATTAAACGTGGAGATATAAAAATTACCGACATAGAAATCTACATTACCGATTGATGGCAGAACAGCAAAAGGAGAATATAAAAATTACCGACATAGAAATCTACATTACCGATTGATGGCAGAACAGCAAAAGGAAAATATAAAAATTACCGACATAGAAATCTACATTACCGATTGATGGCAGAACAGCAAAAGGAGAATATAAAAAATACCGACATAGAAATCTACATTACCGATTGATGGCAGAACAGCAAAAGGAAAATATAAAAATTACCGACATAGAAATCTACATTACCGATTGATGGCAGAATAGCAAAAGGAAAATATAAAAATTACCGACATAGAAATCTACATTACCAACTGATGGTAATGTAGATTTCTATGTCGGTAATTTTTATATTTTCCTTTTCCTGTTTTACCATCAGTCGGTAGAAAAAAGTTTTAACCTTGTATTTAGAAAAAATATTACCTTTTTCGATAATATTGTTTAATATTTAAAAAGTGCCATACAACATCAAAGAATAGACAAAATTTGCTGTAATTTAAATGTTTTGAAATACCTCAACTTGAATAAATATAGAGTATTTTAAGGGTCACATGATGCAAATGATAATAAATAATCATTATGAGATACGTGATAGCTTTTATTAATCGCAGTTCCATTAGGTACCTCGGTGGGTAGGAACAAATTTCTATGGGGTATCCTGTAGTGCTCTATTAAAGGGCATTAGCTATATAGGGGTCGAGTCAAGTGCTGCGGCTAATACTAACCCTCGATTTCCGTACGGGTGAGAAAGTCGAGAGTTCCATGGTTCTGAGTGAACTCAACATGTGCTTTTTCAAATAATCAATCGTAGCGAAAAACGTGTGCCATTTTTTTTTCCCTCTATCTTTATCGCATTTATGTCATGTGACAAAATTTAAGAAATGCCCTTCAACAACAATCAAATTCCACACCTTAAATGTGAATTATGTCATATATAATTTTTCAGCAAGAGGCGGGACCTTGACAATATCAATCAATGAATTTTATATCGCACCATTAAATTATTCCACAAATAATATAATATATAAAATAAAGCAAATCGTCTAGAAAAATTTGCCCTAACCTTTGGCTTTTAAATCTCCGGAAATCGCTTTTCTTGACGAATTTGATCACATACGGGAATTTTTGTCGAATTTAAAAATTACCGAATTTTTATTTAGCAGAATTTTATAAATGTAAGTTTGCTGCAAGCTTCCGTGCTATCTGGTATTCTAATAATTCGATAATTTTTAATTCGACACCACAAAAATTCCGACAGGTCTAATGTGGAAAACATACTTTTTTGGTACATATAGAGGGATAATTTTCTATAGAGAGAAAATCTTGTCTCAAAACAACGCTTTCATTCTTAACTTCCGTCGATTTTTTTTTTTTTTTTTTGGCATTTCCGGTTTTTCCTCGACGAAGGAAACTAGCGAGCGATCTTTCTTAATACTCGCGCGGTGTCGGCGAAGCTAATGCTATATATATAACTAAAGAAAAAAAGGGAGAAATGTTTTTCTCCATTTAACACATAAATCCAATGAGATGCTGGTGTGTTGCACGTACTAACACTATTGGGGGGTTGAGTATTAAGAAGAATGAAAGAGAGAGAGAGAGAGAGAGAGAGAGCGAAAAAAGGGATGAGAGAAGAGAGACTGTATAACGTCCCACGCAGGGTGGCATTGTTCCTAAGTGATGTAACTGCGTCTTATTGTATTTGTATCCTGTATCGTATTGTTAAGAGTCTCTCGCCACAAAGCGTAAGTGGTTTTGGCGGAAGCCACATTCAGTGGTTGGATTGTATCGTCCCCCACAACCACCCCCTTTTCAAAAAGGCGTGTGAGCACACACCCTCAAACGAACTATATATACACTAACTCACGATTATTATACTTTTTAGAAAAATTATTTACAACAAATTTTGTTTTTAACTCTCTAAATCTGAATTAGTAGTTTTCTACTAATGAAAGAGTGCATATTCGTTTACCAATTGAATTAGTAACTAATTTTTAGTTAAAAACTACTCATTGCTAGTAGGAAACTACTAATTTATGGAGTAAATCGGCTTATTAATTTGAAATAGTAAAAAATACGATTTACTCCATGAATTAGTAGTTTTCTACTAGCAATGAGTAGTTTTTAACTAAAAATTAGTTACTAATTCAATTGGTAAACGAATACGCACTCTTTCATTAGTAGAAAACTACTAATTCAGATTCAGAGAGAATATAAAAAGAATTTTATAAAAATTTCAAACAAAAATAATAAATTCAGTTCTCGAATTGAATTTTGAGGAAAAAAAAATCGATTTGAGGAAATTTTTGTAGAAAATATAATAATGTTTTGTAATAAATAATTGAAAATAATTAAATCTTTCACAGAAATTGAATAAACATAGCAATTCAAAGTATATATATATAGTAGTCTCGAAGTTTGAAAGTTAGAACGAGGAGAGTATTAACGACAGTCGGGATTTGTGAATATATACATGTATATACGAAACAGAGTGGATGAATCCCTTACTTAGTGGCGAGGGTTTGGAGAGTCTGAGGGGTTGTTCCATGGAGTCGTATTCGCTATTGAGGGCTGTTCAGCTCTATTAGGGTGATAATGTTACGAATTAGTGAGATTTCCACTTCTTGTAATTCACCGCCACCGCTCCCTTATATATATATATATATATACTTGGTCAGGAATTAAATAAATTTCTGCGGTAGCCAACGAATGGAAACCGTTATTCTCGTATCTCTATCACGTGCTTCGCATCTGACCTTTTTGATCTTTTCAATTCTTTCCTTGAAACCACTATATATATATAAAAGAATCACACATTCTTCAAAAAGGGGATGAAAGTCACTTTAAAAGTTCAACTTATAGTGTCATTTTAACAATGGATTCTTACATTTTATATGGACTTTTTATTTAACATGAGACTCATTTTACTTAACATGGAAAATGTCTTGATTTAAGATTATAGTTTATTTTTATTATATTTCAACAAAAAGTGGTATTTTATTTTAGATAAAGCGTTTTTCTTTTATTGAAATAATAATTTGTACGACAGGGAAATTCTTTTTTTCCATCAGTAATTTTTTATTTGAATATTAAGAATATTTCAACGAAATTAAATTAATTAAACAGGAATTAAAAAAAAAAAATTCTATAGCTTTATATTCAACACTCAGAAAAAAGATATGTACCATTTTTTTATATTTATTACCCAATTTTTTGGTTAGTTCAAACAAAATTTGTTTAATTCAAATAAATATTTATTTGATCTAATAATAACTGTTTGGTTTATTTTAATAAATTTTTGGAACAAAGAAAAAATTTGATTGAGCTAAATAAACATTTGGTTTATGCAACCAAATGTTTGGTTAACTCTATATCAATGCATTTATTTTGTTAATTTAACCAAAATTTGGTTGCTTCAAACGAATTTTTTTCCTGAGTGTACTGGAATATTAGAAATTAAAAAATATTTGTTAAAAAAATATTGTGACTATATTTCAGGATAATTAAATAGTTTTTGAATTTTTCTTTTAAAATAAAAAATCCTATTTTTTATTAACAATAGACTTATATTATATCGCATCAAGAAAAAAAAAATATATAAGACATAAAGATCTTACGTTTATAAATCTAAATCAATCTAATTTGGGTTTTTAAGTGAAAATTTGACACGGTAAATAAATTCTATTGATCGAAAAGGGACATGAATGGAGAACCATGACAAATAGTTTAGATCGTAAAGATTTTTCGAAGGGTCCGAAATTGCAGTTCGCTGACAATTAATCTATCAATCACTTCAATACTCAAGTTCGAAGGTGTGGTCAAGTGGTTAGTTGTGTATAGTGTCACTCAAAAAATGGTTAATCGTTTCAAAAATTCCGGGCTAACATATTCGCAAAACAAAAAATTATATTGATACTTCAACTTTAAATTCAATAATTATTTTATCTAATTTATTATTTATTTAAATATTTTATTTAAATAATTATTTTAATTTTACTTTATTTATTTAAGTTTAATAAAATAATAATTATAGTAAAGTATTTTATTTATAAAAATAATAAAAAAATTAGTAATAAATAAATGTGACGCGCTCTGAAGAAAGGGACCTTAGAAGCAAACGAATTATAGGTTATGTTTAGGATAGTTTTACCTTTCTTTTTATTTATGTAAACTTAAAATCAGTTTTTATTTTGAATGTAATGAAGATTTAAATATCAATAATTTATATTGAGAGTTGATTGTATTTTAAGTTTAAAATTTTGAAACATAACCTATAATTTTTTGCCTCTAAGGTCCCTTTTTTCAGAGCGTGACACAAATTTAATAAAAATAATAATTAAAAAAATTTGAAAATTATTAATCAGATATTGTTTAGATGTAAAATATTTACAAACAAAATAAAAGATTTATCGTCACAATTAAATAGATTTATTTCAACAAAAAAAAAAAAAACTTTCCTATTTTCTCTCTATATAATACCTTTCAATAAAACGTTTTCTACTAAAATGATTCGTTCGAACGACATTAGTGCCAATAAAAATAGATAAATGCTGGAATTTTGTAAAAAAAAAAAGAAAGGTCCATTGATGACGTCAGGAAAAAAGAAGAAATCGTAGGAGGAATATCTCTTTTGAGGGGGTGCATCACACCCCAACCAAGTACGAGTCGTCGCATCATAATGGATTTATTATTGTCGAAAATAAATTCTTCCCCCCTCTATAACGACCCTAATAGAGTAACCATAGCATGGCAAACAAGATCATCCCTCCTCTCCTATAGACTATGTAAATACGCTGCGATTGAGAGAAAGAGAGAGAGAGAAAGAGAGTCGAGAAAGAGATAAACAGATGAGTAAAAAAGCAACAGAAAGAGAAAATAAGAGAGATGAATAAAGCCTCTAATACACCGTATGGGGTGACTTTATATGCTACTGGGGTGCCATTTGAATTGGTTTAGTCTTCCTCAGGCCCCACCCATTTCTCTCCAACTAAATCAAGATCGTTGTCTTTCATCGGAACAGGGCTATTAAATGTCTCGCAAATTTGTCGGAATTCAATTATGGTAATTCCACTAAAAAAAAAAGAGAATGAAAGTGTTATTTGAACAATGACTCACCCTTGCAGGCCTTTTCATGTAATTTTTTGTTCTCAATGACAAGATTTTCAAATTCATTTTGAAGTGCAATGGCAGCCGCTTCTGTTGAACGATATTTCGATAAATGACCCAAAAGTTTTTCAAGTACATCATTCATGTTATCCTGTTTGATTCTAATACGTCTTGATTCAAGCATACGAACAAATTCAATTTCAGGTGGTGTTAAAAAAATTGTCGCCGTTCCCGATGAGCCAGCTCGTGCCGTTCGACCAATTCGATGAACATAATCTCTCGCTGATAATGGTCCCGTGTATTGAACAACACTGTCAACTTTTGGCAAATCAAGACCACGAGCTGCTACATCCTGAAAAAAAGAAAAAAATTGTAAAGTTTGCTCCTTACAAATGTCTTAAAGATTTTTCGTTTTGTAATCGTCTCTTGTAACGATTGTACCCGCTGTGAACCCCAACAGCGAACGTTTGAGTTAAAATCTCCCTTTTGATTTTTAGTCTCCTATGTTTGGCTAGCCAATGATTTAGTATATATATATATCCTATACTTGGATGCGGCCCACGAAAAATCCTGATAACAGTGGGGGGTGGCTAAAAATTCTTTCACGAAACGATTTCGTTTTTTAAAGATTGTTTTTGCAAATATTCATTCCTTTATATATCCTCGTACATCAATATAAAGACAAATTTTTCAACAGATTAATTGATTCCATTTTATTTTAAAGAATGTCATGCTCTACATTCAATTTTCGAGCTTTTTTTTATTTTTAACAAACGAGTATTATTTATTAGACACATTTAATTAATATTTCTCTTATATTTGACAAATATTAATTTTCTAATTTAAAAAAATAATTAGCAATTAAAATTTTATTAAATTTTGTTTTAAAATTCTCTTAGAATGATAAATTTGATTAAATAAAAATATATTTGCTAACTAATTCCATGATCATAATTGATTGCAAAGGAGAAAATAAAAATAGACAAAGTTTTGTATTGCAATCAACAGATCCGGATGGAATTAGTCAACACACGATGAACCGGTTACTTGCTTCTGGATTTGGGTCGACGATACCGACATTTGTGAAGGCGATTAATGACAGCGATTAAAACAAACGATCGTTTAAGAGACGGCAAGAATAACTAGGGTTTCGTGAACGGATAACCACTCAAAACATCTCACTCGGACGATAGATCATTGAAACAAAATTCACCACTGCTGAGCATGCTGTGCAGTATCCGAGCATTGCTCTCTTTCATCGAGAAAATTAATAATCGAAATGACCTCTAAAAACTAGAATCGCCATTCCTGTTTTTTTTTCTTACGATCTTTTTTGGCTATTAGAAAATGTTATACAAGAAACCAAAAAACGATTATTTAAATATTTTTCAAAATAATAAATTCTATTTGCAATTGAAGGATAATTTGATTCGTTATTCGATAAATGTCGAAACACACTATCTGTAACGATCTGTAAGCTATTACGACAATGCAATACTATACGCATTTATAAAGCAATTTATAGATGATTGAAAACACGCTGAGACAATTTGCAAATTGGTTCGATAGACCTGTAATTTCTAATTCTAAGAATCGTGTATTCTGTTAATTGCCACTCACATGTTATTAGTTCCGCTTCATAGTTTTTATTTTTCTCTTTCTCTACAACAATATACAAAGAACAAAACGCGTATAGAAAAATAATCTTTCATTTAGCATATGTATATATATATGCAATTGTGTAAGAATTACAAATTATCGTAATTTCCCTTTCATTTGTAGGGTAATAAAATAATAATATACATTTTTTTATCTTAAAAAAAGTACACGTTTTTGTAATGTTAAAAAAAATTAGGAGGAATACTATACAAAGTTAGTAGCGGTAATAACCACTGGGTTTAGAAAGAGAACCTGGCAATGATAATTATACTCGGTATAACGATGGGCCTCATACGCGCATAATTTTTAACCTTAGGTCTCAGCGTGGGTCCAAAGATATTAAATTCCAAGTTGCAAAAAAAAAAAAAAAAGAAAAATATAAGCCACGCTCTAATTTACAATTCTGGGCGTGCCCGCACTCTCGCATGCTTTTCTTTCGCTCCCTGTGTTTTGTCTTTATTTTACTTTTTTTTATTTCTTCATTTCTTTAATATTGTTATTATTTTTTATGATCGCGGAAGCATATTGCACTATATGAGTTTTATTTATGATCGAGTGCATATTTCAAGAACGGAACCTCGCCGTTACTTATTAATTATCATTTCTTTTATTATGCGCTGATGATCTTAAAAGTTTCAAAGACACAAAAATTTACTCGCGATATAGAATCAAAAAAATAATTTTCTTATTTATTTTATAAATTACTTATAAAAAAAAATTCCTATTTTTCTGACAATTTTCTTATAATTCAAATATAAAAAAAAAAGGAAATAGAACAAAATTACTTACAGTGCAAAATAGAACACCGCTGTTGGCCTTTTTAAATGTTTTGAATACTTCCGTTCTTTCTTTCTGCGACATATTTCCATGGAGTTTAAAAAATTCAACATCCACAAGCGGATCAGAATCTTCATCATTTTCATCTTCTGGTTTCGATAAAATCGAAGTTAAAATCTCTGTATGATAATCAATCATATCTTGTGTTGCCATAAAAACAAGTATTTTATGCTGTCCGGAACTCTGGAAAAATTATTTTCCAATTATAATAATTTATAATAAAAATTGTTTTATTTACAAAAAAATTTTTTTTTTATAAAAAATTATTTTAATTTAAAAATAAAGAGAAATTTAAAAATAAATCAAATAAATAAAACTAATAAATTTACCAGACATTTCCCACGGATGTAAGCGCACAAACTGACGAGCCGCAATTTTGGTGGTGTGATAATGTAACTTTGAACGACACTTTGAGGGACAATTAAATCTTCATTCATGTCACTAATATTATCGCCGGAAATTTCCAAATTTTCTTTGGCAGCATCGACAAATGTTGGATTTTTCATAGTGAGACCAGCGAGTTTTTCCACAGCTTGAGTTAAAGTAGCGGAAAGTAAAATTGTCTGCCTTGTTGATTGATTAGAATCACCATCAATATTTTCTTGTTTCACATTTTTTGTTAAATCATTTTTATCGTCTTTAATTATTTTTTTCTTTTTTCTTCCAATATAAACATTTCCATCATCAGAATCCATTTCTGATTCAGAATTATAAACTCTTTTAGTATTGACATTTTTATCTTCTTCTTCTTTTTCATCTTCCTTCAATTTGTCTTCATTCTCATTTTTCTCTTGTAATTCTTCGTTATCATCGCTAAATTTCTTTATACTATTTTGACGAAGCATTTTTATTGGATCGTATCCCGTTTCTTTTGGATCTGATACACTAATTTTTAAGGCGCTTACAATTCTAAAAATTATAAATTATAAGAAAATTAAAATTACAAGTAATTAAATAATGAAATTTAAAAAAAAAATATAAAAATTATAAATTAAAATTACCCGGAAATGTCTTTTTCATATCCCATATCAAGCATACGATCAGCTTCGTCCAGGACAAAATAAGAGACATCATTTAATTTTAAAGCTTCAGTATGTTTAATGTGATCTAATAATCGTCCAGGTGTTGCAATTAAAATATTACAGCCACGTCTTAATCGTGCTTTTTCGGCTTTTCGTTTTTCCCCACCGACTAAATAACCAGGTACAATCCACATAAACGGCTGTAATTTATATTGTACATTAAAAAAAAAAAAATATTTTGACAATTCTTTAAAAATAAAAATTATTATTTTATTCCTTTTTTATGCGAATAAAATCTAATTAATTTGATATTATTCAAAATCAAATTGTTCAAAATTACAGATAATTAAAATATTTGGAATAATTGTAGCAATAAATTTTATGTATGTATTAATATTTTTAAAGTAAAATTTTTAATTAATTCGATTCACGTTTAATTCTAAAATTTTTTTGTGATTTAAATTGAAAGGTTTATCAATTATTGTATGAAAAAATTAAATTGTATTTAATTATTTAGTCAAATAATTGAAATTATTTCCAAATAATCATAAGTGAATTGAATATTTTGCAAAATAAAAAATTTGTTTAAATAAAAATTATATTCAATGACAATTTAATTAAATCAAAATTTTTTTTAGATAAATATTTGAATAAGTGTAAATTAGATTTAAAAAAAAATGCTATTAAATAGAAATTTTGTTAATTAGAAATTCCATTAAATAGAAATTTTGTTAATTATAAATTCTATTAAATAGAAATTCTAATAAATAAAAATTCCATTAAATAAACATTCAGTTCAATAAAATAAATAGTAAATTAATATTGAATTTAAAGACAAAGGAATAAAAAATAATTTATAAAAATTAATAAAAAAAAAAATACTGACTTACTTTTAAAAGTTTCAAAAAACATTCGTACGTCTGTAAAGCAAGTTCTCTAGTTGGCACAACAATAAGGGCTTTCAAACCACTGTTTCTCGTTATTTTTGGTGTAATTTTTTGTAATAATTCAATAATCGGTAAAGAATAAGTTAGAGTTTTTCCAGAACCAGTTTGTGATCTAATTAAAACATCTTTTCCGGAAAGAATCACGGGAATTCCTTTTTGTTGTACTGTGGTCATTTTAGTTATTTGCATATTTTGCTCCAAATTAGAAACCTAATATAAAAATCCATTAATATTCACGGCAAACAATAAAATTAAAATCATAAATTTTATTAAATTTAAATAAATAAATTTTTGTAAAAATAAAACAAAAAATACGAACCGAAAATGGATGAATGTCGAGATCACTAAAGTTTATACCGGAAAAAACATTTTCTTGCACTGGTTTAACATATCTTTGTCCAATATTTGGTACATCTGGATTATTACCAAAAAGAGATGAAATTTTACCAGTAGGTTTATTCATTATTCGTTCAACTTTTCCCTTAAATTTTTTATTCGTTCTGTCATTATTTTTCTCATTATATTTATTTGTCCTAAAGTCAGAATTAAATTTTTTCTCTTCCCTATTTTTTTTATTTCCAAAATTATCTTCTCTATTAAAATTTGAATCCATTTTTTCTTCATTATTATTTTTTGACAAATTTCCAAATTTAAATGGCAATTTATCTGAATCTGTTTTTTCCGAATTTATTGAAAAAACATCACTTAAAGATTTTTTCTCACCATTTGAATTGACATTTTTTTTTCTTATTAATGTGGCTTTAATTTCATTATCATTATTAGTTTTAACAAATTTTACAATATTCTGTGCATCTAATTTTTCGTCATTTTTTTGAATTAAATTATTAATAGGAACTGAATTTTTTTTATCAGTTAAAAAAGAAACTTTCTTTTTATTAACACTGTGTCCTAATTGTTTTGCAACAATTGCAGCAAGTGATTTTTGTTTAATTCTTGTTTTTGTCTTATTTATTGAACTATCAGAAATTTGTTTAGAACGAATTGTTTTTGATAATTTTTCTTTTTTCGAATTCTTTGCTAATAATTCAGAAGTGATTTTTTTCGTATTTTTATTACCCTGAAGCCAAAAAGAATATGAATTTTAATGATAAAATATTGAACAAATTGTCAACAAGTAATTATTTTGAGGTTACTCACCTTTGTATTTGTAGATGACGAGTCTGTCGTTATATTTATACAAATATCCATTTCGGGAACAGTCATTTTAAATAATTTATTAATTATCACTTGAAATAATAAAAATAATCACACAATTTCACCAACAAAACACTCACTTTCAAGATATAAACATAACCTGTTAATGTTACACGAACGAAATTTCCAACACGTGTGTGGCAGACTTCTCGCGGAAATCAATGCGCAGAGGAAGATGACTCTGCGCAAGCGCAACTTAATGGCGCTATTAATTTCAAAATTTGAATTCAAAATTATTTATACAAAAATGAATTGTTAACTTTTTTTTGTTAAATACAATTAATATATATTGCCGAAACAATAATGATAATTAATATAATAAAATAAAGAGCTAAATAACGTAATAAATACCTCGTAAATAATAATAATTATTATTATTAACTTTTAAATTATTTTCTTGATAAATTTATAATATTTATCTAATTATTTATTTATTATTTATATAATAGTTACAATAATTAATAAAATAAATAATTATTATAAAAAACAATAAAATAAGTAAATTACTGTTAATAATAAATTAAATTACAAAAAAAATTAATTAATTAATAATAATTTTATTTAAATTTGTTTTATATTTTCTAATTCGAAATAAAATTTTAACTATTTCAAAAAAAAATTTTATTAAATCAAAATTTTTTTTTATATATTATTTATTATAAATTATTATTATTATTATTATTATATTATTTTTTATTGAACTAAATAATTAATTGAATTATAAATTTATTTATTTTCTTTTAAACTAAATTTATAATATATTTTTTAAAAACAATTTATTTTCTCGAAATGAATTTTAAAAATAAAATTTCTGAAATATTTTTTTTTTCGATTTAATTTCATGCAAAATATTGTGACGAAATATGATAATGTTTGACTGTAAAATAACGATAAAAATATTTTCTTAACATATGTAACAGTACATATATTAAAAGAATAGAACGTACTCGCACAATTGATAGGAAATAGAACAGTTATAAATTTGTTATCACAAGTGTTTTTCTGAACAAAGAAAAAAGATTTTACGTAATACACAAAATTTTCGATATTATTATAAAGAAGGGTCACAAAACTACTTGTGACAGCTCTGAATTTATTTACATTTTATTTTCCGACTGTTCATCATTCATTATAAAGTAGTTAATAATCAAACACGTTTAAAATTTAATTCGTTTAGAAATAAAGCAAATTTTATACATTATTTTTTTTTAAAATCTTAAAAAATTATAGTTTTTTCTTAAAAAAATTGACAGATGATTTCATTATGACTCAATTGTGTATTAGTTATTCTTTAGCAATTAAACTTATCGGTTCATTTGGAGTTGTAAGTATTATTGTTATAATTTTTATTTTTCAAAAAATAGTTTCAACAATTTAGAAATTTAATTTTATATATATTTTTTTTATAAATTGTTTTAAATAAAAATTTCCTTTTAATTAAAATAATATATTTTAATTAAAATTAAAAATATATACAAATTTAACAATTTCCATGGTAGTAGAAAATAAATCTTTTTTTTTATCATTTTTCTTTTAAATATAAATTTCTGTTTTTAATTAAAAACAATCTTTTAATTAAAATTCAAAAATTTATATAAAAATTTCAATTAATTTAAAAAATTCATTCAAAAAAAAATATACAATTTATATGGGAGAAAAAAGTTTTTTTTTTGGAATTTCAAAAGTGTCCCGTGAAATAAAATGGTTTTTCTTTTGGTTTAACGTTACAGACAGTTTCAATATTGATGATAAATATATTAGTGACTGACTTTTTCTCGGCAGAAGAGCCAAATGCATTTTCAATTACTGTCGAATCTTGGACCCTTTTCGGATTAAATTGGACTTATTTCGTAAAAAATATACAAAAAAGTTATCAAGGTAAGCGGAAAAATAAAATAATTTATTTTTATTGTATATTTTTTTAATTGTATAATTAATTTCGCACTGTACTTATATTTTGAGAACAATTATCAAAGTAAGATGAAACTGAAAAAATAATAAATTTGTTTTTATTATAAAAAATTTCCTCTTTTTTCAAAAACAAAAAAAACACACAACAGTGATGACCAAATTTTTTTTTTTTTAGAAAAAGAGGAAATTTTTTTATAATAAAAACAAATTTATATCGTTTAATCCTGTTTTAATATTTATTCTCAAAATATTATATGTACTTTTAAATTTATATGTAAATAAAAAAAATAAATTATAATAAAATAAAATTAATAAATTGATTTGCAGCGAAATTACTTTTATTTTGTGTTCTTTTCTATGCTGGATGCTCTTTTGTGGCAAATACAATGTTATGTTTAGCTGCTATTTCAGTAAGTAAACTAATATATTGAAAAATATAATAAATTTAGACTGAAAAATTTATTAACAAAATATTAAAAAGACGAGGACTATAAAATATTACAAAAATTATGAATAACAAATGAAATATACAAAAAATATAAGTAGAAATTTATATTTGTTTATTTATAAATTAATAAAAAATAAAAAAATTTAATATTTATAAGTAAATATAATTCCAATTGTATATAAGTTGCACTATATTTAATTTTTCTGATTAATTTTATAACAAAAATAAACACAAATTTACGTAATAAAATTTAATTAAACAATTATATAATTAGAAAATAATATAAATTTTAATCGAATAATTATGTTTTCATCTAGTATCAAAATTTTTGTAATAATTCGATAAGAGTGTTTAATTATGACATCGTCCTGATAACGCGTAAAAGTGTTTGAAAATAGATTGAGAAAATCAGTCTAACATTTATTATTATTTTCAATGCCATAAAGTATCGCACTTTTTTTTTTTATATGTATATAAAAATTATCTAATAATAATTTTGCAGAAAAGACCAAATTTTCTAGTACCATGGATTTACATACAAATAATTAGCATAATGGACCAAAGTTTTGCTATTTTTATGAATTTATTTAATTCGGATTTCAAATTTTATAATAAATCTAACTGGAGTATGTCATTATCTAGTTCCTATTTGTGTGAGTATATAAAATTCTAATTAACAAATGAAAAAAAAACGAAAATTAAAAATTAAAAATAATATAATAATAATAAAAATTTATTTAATTTTTTTTAGTGCTAAGCGCTTATTTTTTGTTAATCGTTCGTTCGGCTAGAAAAAATTGGCTTGATTATCCGGAACGAACAATTCACATTTCAACGATAACGAGAACACAGGAGGTTCAACAGGGTTTTAATTTACCAAAATCACCGTCATATTTAGCTGATCAAAACTTTATAAATAATTCACCAAATTACACGATATCAGCTAAATACGAGGAGATATGACTTTTATATGAAAAAAAAAGAATTTTAATTAAATGATATTTTATATAATTTTGTGAATATTTAACAAAATAACTAATTAATACATTTGTAAAACAAATATATTTTTTTTACTTATTATATAATATAATATAAATTAATTTATTGTAAATGAGGAGAAAAAATTTATACATTTTTTAAAAATAATGTTTGCAAGAATTTTTTTATGACTTTTCTTTGAATATTTCCTGCTTTTTTATTATTATTAATTATTAATTTTTTACAGTCCGCATAAAGATTAGGTTATGTATGAATTAGGCCAAATTAAAATTAAGTCATATATAAAAATTAGGCAAAATGAGAATTAGGCTATACATAAAAGTTATGCCAAATATGAATTAGAAGGGAAAAAATAGGCTAAATATAAATTAGGTCAAATAAATATTAGGTTAGGGTGTAGGTTACATAAAAATTAAGCCAAACAAAAATTAGGCTGTATAAAAATTAATAAGAATTAGATTGGACAAAAATTAGGCTAAATAAAAATTCGGCCAGATAAATATTAGGTTAAATAGAGTTCAGGCTACATAAGAATTAGATAAAAATTTGGCCCAATGAAAATTAAGTTACTTTTCATAAATAACGTCTCGCAAACATATTCTCTTCATTCATAAAAGTAAAAAAAAATGATTTAAGGGTGCGGTGTATTTTCTTAAAATAAATTGTCGATCGAGTGCTTGACCATTGTCATGAAAATGTTTTTTAAAAAAAAGTTCTGTATATTCTTTTCAAAACAAATCGGTTTCGAATGAAATGGATGAGATTCAATTCAGACAGAAAATATGTTGATCCAAATTCAAATTCATAAAGTTTAAAAGTATTTCGACATAAAAGACGATCATTTCTCATATTTCTCATATGCAGGCACGCGCCGTCGAGCATGCATTTGATACACACTATTAGACCACTCATCCCTGCATTTTTTTTTTTTTTTTTTTTTTGATAAATCGAGAGAGAGAGAGAGATTTTACTTTTACTATTTTTATATATGTACACAATTCTAAAAGCCAATCGTCATTCCAGGGGCATTCTCAGTTTTCAACTCTTGTGGTCATTTTTCCAAACTTTCATGACATTCTATATATAGGATGTATATGAGCTCTATCCATAGATCACAATAGCAAAAGCTCTCACGAATGTGCACTATTCTTTTTGAAATATTTCAATTTTTCACGAGAATTAAATAAAGTTTAGGCTAAATATTATATGAAAATTAGGTGATATGAAAATGATAATTATGTCAAAACAGAGTTAGAACAGAAAATGTTTAGGCTGTTTAATTTTATTTGACTTTGTAAGGGATTTTTTCATTTTCCAGAAAAACATTCTATCTAAAAAAATGGAAAATAAAATTGATTGTTCTTATTCTAATGCTGTTTAGATTTAATTAGTAGGTTTTTTTGATAGTAATATGTGATGTTTTAAGGTAAAACAAGTTGTAACTTCAGATTTTCATTACATGAACATTTTGCTTCCTCTTTACGATCAGCAAAAAAATTTGCTTCCTCGTGGAGAAAGCAAACTTTTATTGTCAAAATGTGAATTTTTAATTTTTTAACTTTCATTAATTCTTTAAATTTACCTCAAATGTATACTTTATATATATCGATCGATTCGTCTTGACGTAAGGTATACGATTTTATTATATATAACCTTAAATTTTTCTATTTAAAAATTTTTTCGATTAAAAAAAAGTTTATGGAAAAAAGACGATAAAAATTTTTTTTAGTGTATTTTTTAAAATCCTTTGGTCAGATTTGAGATATAATATATTATATGATCCTACCAAATTTTATCTAAATCCATTAAAACCTGCTAAAGTTATCTTCTAAACAAAAAGGGCTCCACACACACACACACGTACATACATCCGGACAATTGATCAGGATATCATATAACATGTTTTTACAAAGAAAAAAATTTGTTTCCGCCACTTTGAAAAGTTTTATAAACGAAAGGACTACAAAGCTTCCTCCACGAGGAAGCAAAAAGTGTCCAAAAGTTTCGAACAAAAAATGAATGGCGCACTTTTTGATTGGTCCAGCGGATGCTGAGCTACACTCAAATAAATTTCCGAAAAATTTTCAAAAAATTAATTTCGCGAGATAATCGCTCCGTAATACCACCAATAAAATAGGGAAAAAGTTTCGAACAAAAAATGTATGGCGCACTTTTTGATTGGTCCAGCGGATGCTGAGCTACACTCAAATCAATTTCCGAATAATTTTTGAAAAAATAAATTCGCGAGATAATCGCTCCGGAATACCGTCAATAAAATAGAAAAAAAGTTCCGAACAAAAAATGTATGGCGCACTTTTTGATTGGTCCAGCGGATGCTGAGCTACACTCAAATCAATTTCCGAAAAATTTTCAAAAAATTAAATTCGCGAGATAATCGCTCCGGAATACCGTCAATAAAATAGTCAAAAAGTTCCGAACAAAAAATGTATGGCGCACTTTTCGATTGGTCCAGCGGATGCTGAGCTACACTAGAAAATAAATTTGGAAAAAATTTAGAAAAATTAAATTTGCGAGATAATAGCTCCGGAATACCACCAATAAAATAGGGAAAAAGTTTCGAACAAAAAATGTATGGCGCACTTTTTGATTGGTCCAGGGGATGCTGAGCTACACTCAAATCAATTTCCGAAAAATTTTCAAAAAATTAAATTCGCGAGATAATTGCTCCGGAATACCACCAATAAAATAGGGAAAAAGTTTCAAACAAAAAATGTATGGCGCACTTTTTGATTGGTCCAGCGGATGCTGAGCTAAACTAGAAAACAAATTCGGAAAAATTTTAGAAAAATTTAATTCGCGAGATAATCGTTCGGGAATACCGCCAAATTCTTTAGCAAATAGTAGCGAACAAAAAATGTATGCCGCACTTTTTGATTGGTCCAGCGGATGCTGAGCTACACTCACTAAAACTGGGAAAAAAATTTGGAAAAAAAAAATTTGCCAGATAATGACTCAAGAATAATGCCAAAAAATTGAGCAAAAAGTCTCGAACAAAAAATGTATGGCGCACTTTTTGATTGGTCCAGCGGATGCTGAGCTACACTAACTAAAACTGGGAAAAAAATTTCAAAAAAAAAAATTTGCCAGATAATGAATCGGGAATAATGCCAAAAAATTGAGCAAAAAGTCTCCAACAAAAAATGTATGGCGCACTTTTTGATTGGTCCAGCGGATGCTGAGCTACACTAACTAAAACTGGGAAAAAAATTTCGAAAAAAAAAATTTGCCAGATAATGAATCGGGAATAATGCGAAAAAATTGAGCAAAAAGTCTCGAACAAAAAATGTATGGCGCACTTTTTGATTGGTCCAGCGGATGCTGAGCTAAACTAGAAAACAAATTCGGAAAAATTTTAGAAAAGTTTAATTCGCGAGATAATCGTTCGGGAATACCGACAAATTCTTTAGCAAATAGTAGCGAACAAAAAATGTATGCCGCACTTTTTGATTGGTCCAGCGGATGCTGAGCTACACTCACTAAAACTGGGAAAAAAATTTGGAAAAAAAAAATTTGCCAGATAATGACTCAAGAATAATGCCAAAAAATTGAGCAAAAAGTCTCGAACAAAAAATGTATGGCGCACTTTTTGATTGGTCCAGCGGATGCTGAGCTACACTAACTAAAACTGGGAAAAAAATTTTGAAAAAAAAAATTTGCCAGATAATGACTCAAGAATAATGCCAAAAAATTGAGCAAAAAGTCTCGAACAAAAAATGTATGGCGCACTTTTTAATTGGTCCAGCGGATGCTGAGCTACACTAACTAAAACTGGGAAAAAAATTTCGAAAAAAAAAATTTGCCAGATAATGACTCAAGAATAATGCTAAAAAATTGAGCAAAAAGTCTCGAACAAAAAATGTATGGCGCACTTTTTGATTGGTCCAGCGGATGCTGAGCTAAACTAGAAAACAAATTCGGAAAAATTTTAGAAAAATTTAATTCGCGAGATAATCGTTCGGGAATACCGCCAAATTCTTTAGCAAATAGTAGCGAACAAAAAATGTATGGCGCACTTTTTGATTGGTCCAGCGGATGCTGAGCTACACTAGAAAATAAATTTGGAAAAAATTTAGAAAAATTAAATTTGCGAGATAATCGCTCCGGAATACCACCAATAAAATAGGGAAAAAGTTTCGAACAAAAAATGTATGGCGCACTTTTTGATTGGTCCAGCGGATGCTGAGCTACACTCAAATCAATTTCCGAAAAATTTTCAAAAAATTAAATTGGCGAGATAATCGCTCCGGAATACCACCAATAAAATAGGGAAAAAGTTTCGAACAAAAAATGTATGGCGCACTTTTTGATTGGTCCAGCGGATGCTGAGCTACACTCAAATAAATTTCCGAAAAATTTTCAAAAAATTAATTTCGCGAGATAATCGCTCCGTAATACCACCAATAAAATAGGGAAAAAGTTTCGAACAAAAAATGTATGGCGCACTTTTTGATTGGTCCAGCGGATGCTGAGCTACACTCAAATCAATTTCCGAATAATTTTTGAAAAAATAAATTCGCGAGATAATCGCTCCGGAATACCGTCAATAAAATAGAAAAAAAGTTCCGAACAAAAAATGTATGGCGCACTTTTTGATTGGTCCAGCGGATGCTGAGCTACACTCAAATCAATTTCCGAAAAATTTTCAAAAAATTAAATTCGCGAGATAATCGCTCCGGAATACCGTCAATAAAATAGTCAAAAAGTTCCGAACAAAAAATGTATGGCGCACTTTTCGATTGGTCCAGCGGATGCTGAGCTACACTAGAAAATAAATTTGGAAAAAATTTAGAAAAATTAAATTTGCGAGATAATAGCTCCGGAATACCACCAATAAAATAGGGAAAAAGTTTCGAACAAAAAATGTATGGCGCACTTTTTGATTGGTCCAGGGGATGCTGAGCTACACTCAAATCAATTTCCGAAAAATTTTCAAAAAATTAAATTCGCGAGATAATTGCTCCGGAATACCACCAATAAAATAGGGAAAAAGTTTCAAACAAAAAATGTATGGCGCACTTTTTGATTGGTCCAGCGGATGCTGAGCTACACTAACTAAAACTGGGAAAAAAATTTCGAAAAAAAAAATTTGCCAGATAATGAATCGGGAATAATGCGAAAAAATTGAGCAAAAAGTCTCGAAC